GTTTAATAGGTATTGCATGATTGGTGGGCAGGGTCAAAAAGGGATTATTATAATGACATGGCACCTCGGAACTAAGTGTTAACCCTTTTTTGAGAAATCATGCTCAAGTATATGAACCCAAATTGCATATTAAATAAGTTTACAAGAACCACTAAAATTAATCTTAATCTTTTTTTAAGAAATTTTACTTACCTAAATACATGTAGGTACTTAGTTTTAGACCAAATTACTTCCCAAAAATGGCCTTTTATTATTATCTATGTCTGTAATTTTTAATTTACTTTAATTATTAAGTTTAATAATCCTAAGATTTGCCTACGCCCATGGACGACAACGAAATTCAGGCAAATTTTATGACACTTCATGATTTATTACTCTACACTCTTTTGAAATAGACTATAGGAATAAAAATTGGCTGTCAACTTTTCCATCATTGAACAGAAAATGAAGGAATGAAAAAAGAAAATAAACACTACCAGGGATAGAGAAACAGAGTTCAATGTATTCAGGAACCTATACAGACATTACGATCCCAAGCGAATCTTTCCAACCAGACAGTCAGAAACTAGCAGCCTACAATTCAACATTGCACAGAGCATTCTCACTACCTTTATCTGCTAACAATATAACTAGGGAAATTAAAATAATTATACAGATAGGCCATAATGATGGTATCAACGCAGACACACAATCCAGAAATTAGTCAGTAAACAAAGCCGTGAATTCACTTAAAGATTGGTATACCCCCAGATGAAACAATCAAAAATCAAGAAATGGGAAACATATTTTAGTGAAAGAACAGAGATAATTGCGGGTTTCTTCAGAAAGAACAATGTGGAAGTAGCATTCAGACCACATGCCAGATTATCTGATTTCCTTTTTAATTCCAAAGATAAAGTGAACAAGTTGAAGAAATCTGGAATTTATAAGCCTAAGTATCGGGAGTGTGATAGTGTTTACGTGGGACCACTCAAAATGGTATGATGAACATGAAAAGTCCTTTAGACTAGGTAAAAATGATTCGACGTTTGCAAACCATTCTTTAGGATGGAACCATAAGTTCCCGAATCTAAACGATACGAAAATTTTGCACTAGGCAAGGAAGAATTGCAAACTCAATCATTTGGAATTCTTGGAAATTCATAAGCATGAGTATTGCGGGTGCAACCTGTTAAATGATCAAATCGATCTAGTTTACTCATCGGTTTTCAAATTAGCATATCCCCAGTGTTATAGGTGAACAAAATTCAGGTACTCAATTAAGTTGAGTACCTCTTTCATTACCTACAGTGGTGTTATATAAGGGCTAATGTATTCAATCATTATTAGTTTAATGAATAAGTTTGAAAATGTCCTTATAGGACGAAATTGCAGTAACGTTAGTTATAAACGAAAGTTTAATTTCTTATTTTTCACTATGAAAACTTTTCACAAAGATGTATAGATCATCTACAGAAGTTTCTCTCAGAACCGAAAGTCAGTCCACCCGAATATAAACATTGAATAATATGGAAATACTTTTTGTCAGGACTCCAAACATTCGTAATGGAATAGGAATATGTATTTTTTTGAAGGTGGTTGACAATGTTTTATGGTGAATTCCATTAGTTCGGATTTCTACTGTCTTATATGATACGATTCGAAATCTCTAAAATAACGAACTGAAATTGAAATTAAAAAGAATAGTTGAAAATAACAATTTATTAGACAAAATGAAGAGGAAAACGATCAATTCCCACCAAACTCATCAACCGAAGACGATTGTGGATACTGATAATCGATACGTCGTGAAGTTACTTGGCTTGAAATCTTTGTATTTATTACTTCATTTTGATTGTTCAATTTTCCATTTTTTGCTTGATTATTTCTTTTATCGTGATTTTTCTACAGGGTTTTTTAACCTGATATAATTATTATTTTTAGCTATTCCTTTTGAATTTGAAATTTCATTTGTTAATTTAGAAATTTCAAATTATATCATATTAGATAATGGAACTCCGAACTAACGAGAAATATGTATCATCCATAGGAACGCTACACAACCTTTTTAGTGTACTTCAGAAAAAGATAAATGTCTTGTCCCTTCATCAGCATCGTTCTGAATAACTTCCACAAGCGCACTACTCATTCATTTCATAATATCATGACTTCATGTCGCCGAAGTCAAAAAGTTTTCTCCAAAATGTGAACCTTTTCTAAAAACATTTCAATTTCAATGAAGTTTCTATGGCTGGGATAACTGTATGAATTCTTCAAACGATGATTTTTCGTGAATGCTTTTTTGGTTTATAAACCCAAAAATCACTATGAATGTATGAATTGTGATATTGTCTCTTTGTGACCAGAGCAGAATTGTTTTATTTCATTGACAAACATTTGTGATGTTATAAAATAAATGGGTGCTTTGTCTAATAAGGTTAGACAAAATGGTGGTGATGAGGAAAACAGACAACTGTTCTGTCCCGAAACTCCACTGTACACGTAATGCGTAATCTACACATTTTTGTGAAGACTGTTCATTATAGTTGCTTTCTTCATTCATTTCTTTGGAGATTTCCAACATTTTGTTATAAATAATGGTGAAGTAGAAAGCCAAATAGGTGTTCTCCTAAAAAGCTTTTCTGCCCTGAAAATATTTCCTTTTCTGTTTAAATCATCTCCATTTCACTGGACTGTAGGTTTCTTCATGGAAAGTGACCAAATCAACTTGAGTGATTATCTTCAGATCGGTAAATGTCAAATATACAGGGCGAACTAACTTATCCATTGTTGCGAAGTCTAAATGAAATTTGAACAACACTCATCGTGAAGTGCGAAATTGGTTATAAAAAGACGAAATTCAATAAATTATAAATGAATCTTAACCTTGCTGATCCATGGAGCAACCATATTGATGATAAATCTCAGCTGTTTTCCAGGTCTGCTGAGATCTGTGGCCTTCTTTCCCATACGATAAAATTCAGTATCTGGGTTTGCTAGAGAATCAACTTCAACTCCAAATGCTGTTGTAGCTATGACGTCATTACAAAAATGAGTGAAGGTATCTTTCATTTCGATAACAACTACATCCTCATCTTGTGTCAGGAAATGATTCGCGAAGTCCTCTGCAGCGTCCCTCATTAGGAAAAACATCGCCCTCATTTTGCTGCTTGTGAATGATGGACTAAGAATTGGTCTCATTAGGCGCCATTCAGGACCTGAAAAATACTTTTCTGTATTATCATAATACGTTTTTTTACGAATTTCTCAGTTTCAGAGATACGGGGATGTGAATAATAATAATAATAATGAAGTGGTGCCATGAAGTGGTAGAATTTTCAAAAGAATTCAGTGAATCATCTTTTACTTATTTTAAACATTGTAGTTGTCTGACCCGAAAATATATTTGAAGAGTTTCAATTGATATATTTGCTTTTCTGCCTTCCATCGTAAGTTCTCGACTCTTTATACAGTATGTCCCTAAATTGATAATATAAACGGTGCGATGTACTGAATTAGTTTGCATTCAATTTTGAAATCAATATCAACTTGCCTATCCAAAAGTATTCATAGCTATTTTTAATTGAATCATCACCTCCATTCTTTTCACAACCGAATTAATTTCATCTCATTTGAGATGCTTAGGTTTGCTCACCCTCTTATTTCTGTGCATGGCTACCTGGCAAGCAGATGTGAACAGGTAACTACATCGTTCCGTTAACCGATCGAAATCTATATTATAAGTAAGATATTTCAATTAGAGAACCAATCGTATAGGCTTGCCTGCAATAAACCGTATACTGCCAATAAAGGATCCAACAAAGCAGCTGCACTCTACCTGACCATTGAATATATCCGAGTGCGCATGCTCGTGTACATGTGAGTGACAGAGATAGCATTTGTGTACACTCGACAGGTATTTTCAACTCTAATTTATTATAACTCTAATTTTAATCCAACTTTTTGTATTATTTCATATTATATATGTACAAACAGCTTTGAAATAAAGAAATAAATAAATTAATGTATTGACAAAAAAAACAATAATTCAACAATGTTTTTCATTCCAAAGCTGAAGTAGAGAATTTTAAAATTATATAAACACCTATATTCTTTATTTGAAATTGATTGGAGAATGATTTATTCATTATTCAAAATGAAATAAATGCCGTAAAGCAGGAAATAATGAATGTTACTCACGACATTTTTTCATAATTGATGAAAAAAAATCATTATATAGAAAAATAAAATTTAATACATTCATGTAATTGAAAGCATTTATTACTAAGCATATAAAATACATACATAAATCAAATTAAAACATTATACATTTCATTATTCACCATCGGAAATAAAGGAACCTATATAATGATCTTCAGATTCTAATAATTCTTCTCCGTGTCCATTATCCATGATTTGTGCAATGTCATCAATTTTTGAAGGTGTTTGGTCACCAATGAATCAAATTTGTATGAAATGATCATCGTCTGAAGAGCATATTTAAAAAAAAATCAATAGTCTATAATTTTTTTTGTATCACTCAAAAAACCCTTTTTCTCATTTTTGACATCCCAATTGATGTTATTTAGCACGTGTTGTCATTAATAAATGATTTTCGAGTGTATACGAGTATCCCCATCATTCAACAGACAGGTAGCGTGCAGCTGCTATGTTGTGTCCTGTTCCATCTCACGCACCTCAGGCGCTCTACTTTCTCTCTCGTACCTATCAAATAGCTCCAATTCTAAAACTTTATAGATTGGCAATAATATTTCTTGTACGATTTTTTTAAGGTAAGCTTGAATATTACTGGAGTTTTTTCCCAAAACCAAATCGTTATTTTTAACACCTCGACACGTGTTTCAATCACCAAGTGATAATCTTCAAAGAGGAAAACTAAAACAGTTCAGACTATATATGTACAGACAGTGCAAGAACTGGAGTTGTGCAGTGTGGTGGAAGACTCGCAGCAAAACGGTCAAGTTTTGACAGAAAAGGAAGTGGAAACTCTAAATGAGGCTGGGATTAGTCCTCTGGATGAGGACTCACAATCCCCTAAAAAACTATTCAATTCAGTTTTGAGCAGTTCTGCTTCGAATTCCTTATCCTACCAATCCAATGAAGGGGTGAAACATCTTATCCGTGTTTACTCAGAAGAAGATAGTAGTGGCAAACATAGTATCAACAGTTACAACAATAGATCGGTGATACATTCTTCAGTCAAAACTATTGGGTTCAATGAACAGTGTATTCCAATGTTTATCAAACACGGAATGGTTGCTGGAATACCTAAAAAAGGATACATACATGGAAGATATCAATACTAGTATTTTTAGTATGAAAGATTTGCCCCTCGATTCATGGGTTCTGCCCGTCAAGATATCTTTCAGAAGGTTCACAAAAGGACCTCAACAGAATTGCTGAGAAACGTGAACCGACCTTAACGGATATTGACGAAAACTTGAGCGACAGCAGAAAAGCAGAAAGAGTCCTGGCGGAGATATTTGAATATAAACAACTCTAAGATTGTAGACTATTTCGTTGGTCAATTAAAATCTACTATGAAGTGGACACTGTGGACACTCATTAGTAACCTTCGATACGTTCTGGGATTTATTTCTTCCCATACCACAAAGAACTTGCCAATTGAGTTTATCACATTACTTGGATTCCTTCACAAGAGAGGAAACTCTGGATGGAGATGAAAAACCAATGTGTTCGAGGTGCCAGCAAAGAAGAAAATGTACAAAGTTCTTATCAATCTATTTTAGTAATTCATTTGAAAATATTCTCTCCAACGGAAAGATTCAGAGGCAAATTGAATGTTCCCATTGACTTTCCTTAAGATGAATAAGCAGTTATGCAGCAGACAATGTGGCTCCTTGTCGTTATAATCTATATGCACTTCCAAATCACAGTGGGACTACTTACAATGGACATTACACAGCATATTGCAGACACCCATATAGTGGCACGTGGCATGAATATAATGATTCACACGTGTTCCCAATTTCGTCAAAATCACTTGTGAGCGATGAGGCATATGTCCTCTTTTATGAACAGGAGGGAAAGAAGCAGCACCTGTGAGGTGATTTTATTTTTCTTTCCTTTTTTTGATAATCGTAGTTCTCTGAATTGATTTGTATTTCATGATTGTTCCAAATTTCATTATGTATTGTAATATATATAACTGATGAATAAAAAAAATCAATTCTGTCTTGTTTAATGTAAACCATTTTTACACTTACATACATATAATAAAGTAATCACTGAACAGCCCAACAGGTACAACTCCATGCACAAAAGTACCATATCGTTCAAATTTGCAAACCCATTTTTTGTCTGGAAACAGAAACTTTTCACAGCAGAATTAGCAAAAGAAGAAGGCTATCTGCACACTTTCTGCGATGAGATTTAAAAATTCAGCATTTACTAAACACAACTTTACATTTTGATGTAAATTTATTAGCTAATGGCTAATGTTACCCCTAATAAAGGGTTGGAACGGTACTACCTAATATTCTTACCAGATCTGGTCAAACAATGCATCTCAGTACAGGCGAACTGATAATTGCTTCGGTTAGTTTAGAACGCTATTTTTCGGAAAATGTTCTTGAAAAAATAACAAGTAAGAATACCATTTGTAAGAAGAATTCAACGCCAATCAAAATAATGTGCCACTTGACCCCCTGAGACTGTGACGTTTTCCTCCTATCAGCGGCAGGGAAAAGTGCAGCTCCGGCAGCTGTTCGTCTTGGTGAACAAAAAGGTCGTAGGAATTTGAGTGTATTTCTTAAAAAGAACGTTATATAAACTTATTGAGGGCGCCACCTGGCTAAATGCATTATATAAGAACGTTAGTTTCACCAAGCCAGGGCGACAAAACTGAATAATGAAGTTATTCAAAATAAATGCATTGTGTGCGCATCCTGAAAATAAATCTGGGCAAAACAAAAGGAAATTTGACCAAGTAGGCAGTTATAATTTCGCTTGTTGGGGAAATATACATAACAGTTTTTATTGTATTATAAGGTGTTACCTTTTATGTAAAAGTATACATTTGAATGCATAATTATTTCTTGCAATCATCCAGTACTGCGTGTTAGCTTACACTTGATGATATTTTCTTGTCGAATATGATAAGTAATAAAAAAATGGTAATAAAATCAATCTGGCCTGTTATTTCTGGACTAGATTGTGCTAGTAGGAGAATTCGGATCGGGCTGTTGTTCGCTTTCTTTCCATATAGTGGTCGATGTATTAGGATTCTCGGAAGATAGAAGATTTCATAGTTCCAACCAACGAAATTATGATTTCATCCAGTTAACTCCGGGGTGGAATAATAATATTGGGATTTATTTTTATTTCCAGCTTTACCGGTAATTACAGGGTTCGATAAGCACACCTACAACCCTAAAACAACTGATTAGCATGAAAAGAATAAACAATAGATACCACTTACCCCACTGATGGAGGGTTGAATTATCAAAAAAACTCCTTGATAATTCCTTGAATTCGCCAATAAATGAAGTGAAAATATATTGGTATTCGACTTCATTCAAATAATATCAAAATAAGAGACAGGAAAGATAATTATATACAAAAGAAACTTAGTTGTGAAATACTCACAAAAAATTTGGAGATCCGGTAGTAGACAAAAAAACTACCAGAAGGTGTTATATCTTCATAAATGATACTTCTTCACGAAACTTATCTGAAGGAAGTGAGTAGACACCTTGTCAGAGTGGCACTTTGAGTTTTCTCCAATATTCGCAGATATGCAATTTAATCAGCAAACGAACTCGCTTCATGAATTCACCTCCAACTCTGACCATCGGCCGTTTTTGCACGATTAGCCTTGCGCAGATAGCATGACTGAGTATAATGGTGCCATCTCTGATAGATAGGAGTACTCTTTCAGGATTTTAAAAAATCTTAAATGATGGGACACAATGCAGAATAAATCTATGAAGACTGTATGAAATATATAACAATAGGTGAATATCCAAAATATCCTAAGGAAACAATTATGAAGGAACAGTAGCTAAATACTTGATTTGAATTCTACCACAGCTGACCTGGTTGCGTTGATCTATTCATATATTCAATTCAATCATTTCACATTTATTTGATCACGATTGAGTGGAATATATTTTTAATCACTTTTCAGTACTTTTCCTGAATGAAAAAAAAATATATGATAATTAATTATAGGAAAATTCCTATAATTTTCAGCCAGGCAACCAGCATTACTCATATGATGGTTATCAGTTGACTAATCCTTCAGTTCAGCTGGCGATTTATCGAAATATTTATTAGCGCTACCTACTCGCCAGAATTGAACTTTTCGTCGCACTTTGAATTGATTTAAAGATACCTACAAGCATCCTCACGAACTGATTTCTTCGAAATTATATATACACAGGGAAAACAGAAAGTAGCATCTCCGAATGCTACAAGACATCTACTCCTCCTAGGGGGTTGAACCACGAGGACTACAGATAGTTCTTCAAAGTGCCCCCCTTGACAATGAAATTTATCTGTTTTTTCGATTCCTTATATTGTTTACTGGAAGGAAGATATTAAGGGTGGGAATTTTTCAAATTGACACCCTGTATGCATTGCCAACAAATACTGTCAATATTCAATAATGTCAAGAACCACTCGAACTCGAAGTTGACGGTTTGACTCTCATAAGTTAAATGTATTGTTATTTTCCTGAGAAGAAAAACACCAAACCGCTTGTGAAAAAAAGTAAAACTGTGGTAATTGAAGTGACTAAACCTCTGTTTCCTTATGAAATACTCCTTTTTCCGTGGGTATTTCTTGAGTACTGAAGGAAAGCCTATAGAATTTTTTGAAGATTGTATACCTCTGAAAATGATCAAAATGGATAGTAAGTGAAAAAATGCCTGATTCGATCGTGTTTATGAAAATAATCAAAACAGTAATTAAGGGTATGCCTACTACGATCCGCGATGTGATTGGTAGTGCATATGTGAGATGAGAATTTTCCGATATATATAGAAGTTGAAACAGGAATCAATATTTTTTCCCAACGTTCTCTTCTGGAAAACAGTGAAGCTGCTTGTATAGTTCATTAAAAAACAACAAGAGAAAGGTATTAGCAAGATCAACCTGAGACAACTGAGTATCTCATACGAATAGCTGAACAAGCCAATCGAAAGCCTGATAAACTAGAAAACTATACCAATTGAAAGCTATACATGACAAAAAAATATGTTCACCCTGCGTCATGGTAAGTTTTGATACATATCATAGTAGTCTGATCTTTGTCCAGAGTTATGAGAAATTCTGTAGAACTATGTTTCATAACTAAAAACACTGATTGAATGATGATAAAGACTTAGAGACTTGAAACACCGAGAATGACCTTGAAATGTGCAAGTTTAATACTGGACTAAGGACTAACGTACTATTATCGCCTCAAAACATGTACTGAAAAGACAGTTTGACATACTATGTAGATTCATGTTGACTAAAAAAGGAAAATCTTTGTTCGGTAGCCATATCTACTCAATATGGACAAACTGGAAATCATCTTGAAGAAAATAACTGCTTTACCTTCATAGGTGCTGCTCTTGCAAGTCGTAATATCTTTGAAGAATGCTGAAGATCTGATAAAAAATTCAAAATGAAACATCAAAGTGAATACTCGTGGACACGTTGGCAGAGAGAAAGAGATGAAGAAAAAATTCCTCTGCTAACAGACGAAGAATGTAGGAAATACTCTATAACATATTTCCTATAAATCAGTATATTACAATAGTTTTTGAATTACAGAACTGTTCGGTTGTCTATTATTCTTATAAAATCAGTGTGAAATTTCAAATACTAACCTTTGAGAGCAAACAAGTTTTTGCTCCATAATGGATCGTTATTATTCGAAACAAATTCTCTATGATCAGTAAAGTATTCGAAATCCTTCACCATCATTTGTTTAATGAGCTCCGCATCTCTCACGAATAATATTGGTGTGTACAATTGATTTATACCACAGTATCTAGAATAAAAAAATTAAAATAGATAAATATCATCGATAAAGCATTAATTTCGACCAGAACATTGATGATTACTAGCTAGATCAATCAGATCTTCGTAATCAACGCAACAAATTTTACAAGTTATTTAACTCAATATGTCATTCAGATTGTGATCACCAAATAATGAAAGCAGTGACTTCATCAATATGACAAAATTGGGTACTTCTGATGGATGTATAATAAGATATCATTCGACAACTTGTTCAGTGTGGATCCAGAATCCACCTTCACAATCTACAGTAACATCACGAAGACCATACCAGTGACTCTGAACATCGAGTAAAATAGATATAATGTGGCTGTGATGAGTCTTTCATTACTAAAACTGGAGTCAACTATTGAAGGTACAGTTTCTTGAATACAAAAACAATACTCAAGAAAGAATCAGTAAATCAGGGGCATCGAAGCCCATCTGCATCTAGCAAAACAATATTCGAAATTGATTTGTTTAGCCTCTTGCTGGTTGTTTGAATGGAAACTATCCCTGAATTGGAACAAGGTTTTTCTTGGTATATTGTAGATAAAAAAGGCTCTATAAATCGTCATCCCTCGATTTTGTACTTCTTCCATAGCATTTTTTAAATCTTCTTCGCTCCATTCACCTGGACCAGCAGCCACCTTCCGTACGTGTTGGTTCGACATCTGTAGAAAATATTGAAGATTAAAAATAAATCAAAATCAGGACATAACATTTTATGGCTACCCATCCCGTAAATACACCTGGACAATTAAGAGAGATGGTCACATTAGGTAATTGAAGCCATTTTTCAAATTAGTGGGTAATTTTGAGCTTGTAACACCGGAGAAGTTTATTACTTCACTGGGAAAGCACGAAAACGGAGACAACTTTCAAAATCTTTTTGTGATCACTCAATATGTTAACTCCTGTACTGAACTCGCATGTATAATGAAAAATCAAAGTCAAATTACTCACCGTTTCATTATTTTTTCGACAAAAAATCCACTGACACTTGTTACCCGTGCCGATGCGAACCGAACTGAACGATGACTAGTTTCATCTAATGATTATTACTTGAACTCTTTTCTATTGGCCATATTTCCCGTACGGCCGTCTCCCCCGGAATAACCCTATATTGGTATCACGATAGCTCTTGCGAAGCCAGAGTAGACGTTTATCGTTGAAGTTTTTTGCCTAAGGTTTGTTAATTGTCTATAATGAACCATTTTCGTAGACACGAAAATGTGTGACCACGTAAGCAGAAATTATTTCATGAGAGGATAAACTATTATGCCAATTCAACCTGATTATGTTTTGCCATATGTCTTGTGAAGAATAATGAGTGTTTTTGCTGGAATATGAGTGAAAAATCAAAATTAGCGAGGTTACAAAATTGCCGTTAACTATTTTGGAGAGCCTAGTCTAAATTCTCCAGAAAAAGATACTATCAAGGGTCTGATCTAGTTTATGAAACAAAAGAAAATTTCCGAAAAAATATAATTTGCACGGTTTCTCGTTATTGATACATTAATAACTATCATCAGGAAATAAATATCGAATGGAATGCATAAACGTAAATAACTGCTTTCACTTGTTTTTTTAACAGACAGCCAAAAGGGAAAAATTAAGAGGGAGTTAACGCATCTGTGCTGACGTTCATACATTGCTTGCATACTCTACTGTTTTATAGTTCGATAGTATGTTTCACTATTGATGTTGGGTGCAGAATAATTGAAACAAAAATTATTGGTCTGTTTATGTGACGAATTCTCAAAAAATTGTATGTATTTGAAGTTTCATTCTGGATTATTTTTTTGATGAAGTTGACCTCATGAGAATAAAACAATTTGTATTCATAGAGGAATAAGGTACTTGGCCTTGACTGTGAAAAGACGTATTAGCTCCTGGTGAAATTGGTGAATGAAAGTCATAGCCCTATTCAATGGCCTGCTATGGTTCCTGATATGAATATTTCCCAACTGAAATTACTGGAAAAATCACCGCAAAAAACGCGGTCAATGAATTTATTGATCTCTTAGCACACAAAATTAACAATTTCCAAAATTATACGCGTGAAATGTTTATCTTCTATTCACTCTTCTATTTTTTTTTTCATATTTTGCCTCACAAAAAAATCATATGTTTTTATGATCAATATACCATTCTATACAAAAAAATATATGAAAAATGCTTCATAATAAATTACTTTCAATAAAAATGTTTCACTCAGAAATGCGTTAATCAATTTTTTTCAACAATATCAAAGATTTCGTACATTCCTAATTATTATGCTTAATCGGGTTCTTTCTAAAGTTGCACATTTTCCAGTTAAATGTGAAATCTACAACATATTTGTTGTGTGAAATGCTGGTGAGGATATGAAGGAATATTGATTCGATCAAAAAAACTCTCCCAACCGTACCCAATCACTTCATGAGTTCATACATAGTGGAAAACTGTTATGGTTGCTAGTGGCTGTAGAAAAAGTCCTGTCATACCACTTAGGTTATTTTAGGTTAGGTTCGAAGTGAGTGGATCTATTCGACCCTCCACCGCAACCCGCTAGGGTTTTTTGTGGCTCACACCCATTTACACTAAACCAAATAAACCCAGCTTCTTAACGAAGCCGATTAGTTTGTATGGAGAGTGGTCTTTCAGGTCAGATGGTAAGAGATTGCCGAACTGGCAGAGCTGTCCTGGCAGAATCTGCCAATCCTGGCATATTCTGCCAGGATTGGCATCGCCTAAAGCGATGCCAATGACAGGTTCTGGTCTGATGAAACGGCTTGCAGCACCCTTTTTTGCGAGAGAGTCAGCAGCCCCATTGCCTTCCAGGACAGTTTGGGCAGAAATCCAAACCAGAGACAATCTGCTAAGTGTCGCTATTGAGAAGAGTTGTTTTTGTCATTTTGCTACCAATTCAGACGTTGCTCGGTAGTAGCCAAGAGTTTCCAACGTCACCTATTTGTCCGAAAATATTTTTATCAACTTGTGTATGAGCTTGAATCCTTCCAATCTCTCCACACACAATTCAATAGCGTAAATTTCCGCTTGGAATACAGTCGCATAGGTTCCTAGGCAGGTTGATATAGCTGTCCTGGGTCTGCGACTGAAAACACCTACACCAGAACCGAAAGGTGTTTTTGATCCATCTGTCATCCCACTTACTCTTTTCGAAAGAAGTGAAATGGTGAAACGAAAATAGCATTACAAGTAGGGTAAAGCATTTGAGAAATGCGGGAAGCGTATCAAAGTAGGCAAGCAGAGTGCCACTAATCAAATATTGATAATTGCGAAATAATAAGGAATACAAAGTGGCCTGAAAACGCAGAAAGACGATAATAGCTGAATTGAAAGAACAAGAGGAACCTATGAAGAGAGTAGAAGGAGAAATATCGCGAAGAAGCTATAAGCTTTCCATGAAAGGGATGCAAGAGCAAGTGAGTGATAGAAACTTTTTGCTCTTGTCGAAGCAGTGGAACGGTAGTATTGTGAAAGACTTTAATTTTCCCACAGGAAAGCATGCAAGATTCTAAAAATAGTATACCTGTGAAGATTATGAAAAAGGTAGCTGAAAAAGTGAACTGTAATAAAATTAGTGAAGAAAAATATGTTGAAAGGTTTCTGATAGGTCGTATTGAAACCTCTGGCTTAGAGTGAATCTATTGAAACCAAAGTTAGCGACCTCAGGGGATCATTATGACTGAAGGACGCTAACATGGTGAGCGAAACGCGCGCCGAGAGACCGTAATTTTTGTTCTGATGTTGGGAAAGTACCTTCAATTGTTTTTAACGGTTTTATTGAAACAAAAAGATGTAGATAATGTACTGAAAACTAAAAAATTATTCGGAAGGTAGCAGTCACCACACCACTTTCCTCAGCAATCTACGATATTGATCAGATGAAAAAATAATAAAACCGTGGGGCGTAGCATTACTTGAGTAAATATGTGAATATATTTATTATATTTCTTTATTTTTCAATAAAACTGTTTGACATATTTTTTTCTTACTTATTTAATTTTCAAATTTTCTCATCCTGTTTAGTGCATTTAGTGCTTCAGTATCACAAGATAATATATGTAATCCGCCATTTTGTAGCTGCAGCCATTTCGAATTTGCATATTTTTCAAAGTGTACACTACTCTTCTGCTAGTTGAACCCTGTCATTTGATATCCATATTGAGGTAGTTGTGAAACAATATGTGATCAGCCATTTTGTAGCTGCGGCCATATTGGATTTCCAATGGTACAGAATTCATCAAATTACACACATCGGAAAAGTCTAGAGTTATTTTTATAGCATACTAAATATCATAAAAATAAATGCATGAGGTCGTTTAATTTCGATTAAATTGGTACACTCGCAACCCTGTAGATTTCTATGGGTTGAACAAAGCCTGCAAAAACGGTAACTAATCTTTTATCAAGTTTTTTACAAACTGTAGGTTTTCGGCTAAAATGAATAATCTGAAAGTGTCGAGTTTGTACATTCTATGCAGTTCTTGCTCAGCAATCAAACTGGAAATATTGTGCTTTAACATGGAACGCCATCACTTATCATTGGCTGAGATGAATAGAGCTGTAGGGCTTCTTCAAGGTGACATGCGACAAAATGATGTAACTCTTCGTTTGGGGTCTCCCAAAGTGTTATCAGTCGATTGTGGCGGCGTTTCCGTGAAACTGGCAGTCCAGCCGAACAACATCCAGGGCGAGGACGCGCTACAACTGCAGTTCAAGACCGATTTTTGGTCTTAACCGCAAGAAGACAACCGACAATCACAGCATCTGAGTTGGTTAACGTGTTGCAGCAGATGCACCAGGTAACCATTGGTCGTGATACTGTCAGAAATCGACTGCATGAAGCAGATCTCCACAACAGAAGGCCACTTAGATGTCCACCTTTGTCGAGAGGCAATCGCGGTAGAAGATTAGAGTGGTGTCAAGAACATCAAAACTGGGATGCAAATGATTGGGCCACAGTTTTGTTTACAGGCGAATCCAGATTTGGATTTCATCCAGATTCTCGCGAGTAAGACTGTGGAGACGACCTGGAAATAATGAACGCTCGAGACACGTCCAGGAAGTCCACACATACAGAGGTGGTACAGTAATGCTATGGGGCGGAATCATGATCGGCGGCAGAACCGATCTCGTTTTTACAAATCGCTCCCTCACAGCTCGACAGTACCTCGACACCATTCTTCTACCTATCGTCCGTCCGTTTGCTGGTGCTGTTGTTGAAAACTTCCACCTAATGCACGATAATGCTCGTCCACATGTCGCGCGTCTAGTGACTAACTGGCTCACCAACGATGGAGTTGATGTATTGCCATGGCCAGCACAATCACCGGACCTGACTCCTATCGATAATGTGTGGGACATGCTTCAACGAAGAATTACTCCGCATATGGGGAACATTCACACAACGTTTCAATTGAGAGAGCTTTTAATCGCTGAATGGGCAAATGTACCTCAACACGACATTGACAATCTCATTTTGTCGATGCACGATAGATGTAGGGCCGTAATAAACCAGCGTGGAGGCCATACTTTGTACTGATTCCAATTTTTTTGTTTTATGATTTTTTTTTGAGGTGCCAAAGAAGAGCCATATTTTTTTTAGTTTTGCTTATATGCGCACTCAGTATTTTTGACCATTCAATAAATTTTGTTGTAAGTTACATTCGTTTAATAATCACCCGTCAACTTTTTTTTCCCTAAAGCGATCTAAAAAAAAATTATTGCCATTTTTAAAAATATCCCTAGACTTTTCCGATGTGTGTATATTGTCATGAAAACAAAATGTTCGTACCAAATTTTGGATCAATCTGTTAAACAGGAAGGGAGTCAAACTTCAATTACTGTATTTTACATAAACAAATAAATGAACGAACAAACAAACAAGGCAAACTGAATTAAATCGTGTAATACCTGATTTCTTTACTACGAAGAGATACCTTTTTTGTCATTAAAGTCAACATTTATCTCTCGATTGACGATTCTTCACCTTTGACATCAATAAAAAGGAATTTGCGAGAAGTCATCACAAGGCCCCAAAAAGTTCTTTTTTCTGTTACGTTGGTTATAAAAAAACTGGTACCGTCTAGAAAGCGCATGCAACCTCTGATTTGACATTATCGAATGATGATATTTTGATTTCACTTCAACTAGTAACCTGAGGATTCAAAATACCCAAATTAATTTTGTTATTACATTTTCATGGAAACCATAAAAAATTCAGAAAGTTGGACAGTTTTTATGAATGACTGGCTTTTGGTTCTGATGATTCATATTAATATATTTATTCTGGATTTCATTCGATGTGTCTCTTGGATTGGTGCAAAAATATAAAAATAAAATATACCAGTTATTTGTAGAATATTTACCTGAAATTGGAAAATTCATTATAGATTTTCTGAACAACAATTGCAGCATTCTCGCGTTGAAGAATTCCAAAAAGATTGAACATGAACTCTTTCACTATCGGCTTTTGCTCAACTCCTTGATTCCCCCAAAAATACAGTGGTTTTATGGTGAAGTAGTAAATGAAAAGGAGAACCACAGTGAGTCCAATTATAATACCAAACATCCTTATCTTCTGAAAGCTGAAAAAAAATGATACTCGTTATACAATACTAGATTTTTGATTTTCTTGAATATATAGAGATGAGTCATTTACATGTTCTTTCCAAATACTCATTAGTATGTGAATGTATAATGAATATTATGCAGTTTCAAGCGATGAAATATTATTATAGTTGTTAGTATTCAAATACAGTAGTGTTTCGATGATTCTTCAAATAACTCATACGTAGACATTTCAAATTGAATGGTGAAAGAAACCACAGTAAACTTATATCAAAAATATTCAGTAGTCATGAAACTTTAATGAGGCGATGGTTATTGCTTCAAATAATAAATATCTATTTGGCCAACATGAAAGTAAAATATAACACCATCTGTGAATGAATTAGCCGATACTTGAGGAAAGTGGATATTATCGTATGAGATGATCCATCAATGACGTGTGTTTTTAGCAACTTTTCACCCGAACTTGGTGACAGGTGGCGAGCTTTTATACTACCCCTCTACCCAAAATTTGAAACAAAGTGAAACAGATGAAACAGGAAACAGATATATTTTAATTCAATGTTGTCCTTACAGACATTTGACGTTGTAGGTTGTTTCTATCGGGTATAAAAAATTTAAGGAGTAACATATTGTCAAACATAATTGTAGTGGTATAGACAGATGTACTTTTTGCAAAAAATATGTATGGATTATCAGTCGTGATTATCTCGCTACATTCTCTCGCTTATTGTGATCCGAACTTCCGAGCTTCACGTGATCAATGAACAACCCTTATTTGAGTAGCACGAAATAGTCAACAAAACCTAAACACCTGTTTCAGTTTACTGTTGGGTTTTCAGGAGTGTTTGATACTAACTAATTGGTAGTTATATCTCTACAAATATTCAATCTACTGTGTCGTGGTACATAGTGATCGACAGAGACACCGGGATTGGTTGTGACAGGGGTTAGTTGTTACAGACGCAAATACTTTCGTAGACTTCAGTATAATTCCTGTTACCGTGCGAGCAAGTGGTCGTCTGCTGTACGCAATATTGTGTTTTTAGCAATGCAAAGTAAAAATTGTCGCCTCGAGTAAAATATTTTTACCAGTGTCATTTCAAGCCTATTTCTTCACGTTTTTGTAGAAAAGCAATCATTAGGATATGTGGATTCTTGTTTCTTTCATATTTTTTTAATCCCAATGTCCTTTTGGCAAGAAGAAGGCAAAAAAACAAAGATGTCGTCTTGGGGTTGGTTGTGACATTCAACTTGGGGTAAGTTGTGACTGTCACAGCCAGCCCCGCATGTGTTCCGTATTTGTTTCAGTATTTGAAAAGTAATGCTTATATCATTTCCAGAAATATAATGGAAATCAAATAGGGGAAAGACGCCTTTGGACGTTTTTGAGCAAGCCTCAGTTGAAGTTTTAATAAATCATAGATCTCTACGTTCAGTTGCTGACAAGTCCCAAATTAATCGTATGACTTTACAAAGATTCTGCAAACGGAAGAGAAACCTTGACGGTGACTTTTTTTTAATTCCCTGTCCTGATGATTGCGTTTGTTTTTTTTCAGGTAACAACCAAGCACCTCTTGAAGTGGGATACAAACGAAATCGACAGGTTCTGCCAGACAGTATGGAGAACGATTAAGTGATTATCTTATTTAATAATCCAAGTTATATTTTGAGCTATCGACGAAAGAAGTAAGGCGTTTAGCATACGAGTTCTCAGTTAAAAACAATACATACGTTCATGAGAATTGGATCAAAAATCAAATGGCTTCTTCCGACTGGCTCACCGAATTTTTGAAACGGCATACGGCTTTATCTCTCAGAACTCCTGAGGTAACACGCCTCAGCAGAGCAACAAATTTTGATAAAAATAACGGCAGTGCCTTTTATTCGCTTCTAGAAGAAGTTTTGGATCGTTACAAATTTGAAACACAGGATATTTACAGTGTTGATGAGATGGGCATAACTACCGTTCAAAAGCCGGACCAATCAATAGCTTGAAAGGGTGTAAAACAAGTTGGTTATGTCACATCTGTGGAGAGAGGAACCTTGGTCACGTTTTGTTTTGCTATGAGCGCCAGCGGCAATTCAGTTCCACCGATGTTTCTTCTTCTTCGAAAAAATTATAGAGACCATTTCGTGAACAATGGCCCACCTGGTTGTATCGTAGCAGCAAATCCATCGGGGTGGATGTCTGGAAATGGGTTTTATATATTTTTCCAGCATTTCGTCAAGCACGCACGATCCTCAAAAAAAAACCAGTCTTACTCATCCTATATAACCACGAGTTTCATCTCTCCTCCAACGACATCAGTTTTTGCAAAGAAAATGGTGTAATAGTCATTTCTTTACCTCCCCACTGTTCGCATAAAATGCAACCATTAGACCAATCAGTGTATGGACCGCTGAAGAAGTTCATCAACAGCGCGATAGATTCTTGAAAGAGAAATCATCCAGGAAAGATGATGACGATCTACGACATCCCTAGCATTGCTAGAGAAGCATTACCCTCAGCTGCAACTCCACCAGTATACAATCCGGTTTTAGGGTTAGCAGAATTTTTCCTTTTAAACATATTTCTGATGACGACGAATTCCTTCCAGCTGCTGTGACTGTTAGGCGAAATCCAGAAAATACTGGATCTATTCACATATTCTATTCACATTTATAAACCCATAATGAGAATACAACAAACAAGAACGAAAATATCGAAAAAGAATAGAATTTTACTGGTATCGGGGATTCATGGTAGGGAATTAGCTAATATTATGAACAATATGACTACAAATTTTATTGTCCAGTCTTTCTTAAAACCCTTCGCAAATGACGACGAACTGATTTCCACAGCTATAGAAAATTCGAAATCTTTTACTGAAAATGACATCATCATTCTATGGACAAATAGACTGCACCAAAATCTAATCGACAAATTCCTTCTGAAATCTCAGCATACTCGCTCAATTGTAATATCACAACCCTACAGATATGATTTGAGAGACACAAATCAAGTGATTTATGAAAATAATTTAAATTTTTTTAAAGCTTTGCATTTAACAAAGATACAAACCACATTGTTCCTGGATTGCAACAATGTGGTAAGAAGATCAAACTATTATAGAGATGGCATCACACTGAAGAAGAGTGGGAAATTCCTTATCAGTAAATCAATTGTAGAACTACTGAATCCCTTCAATAGAGTAGATTCGAAGCAAACCATTGTACAATCTCAGCCAAAAATAAATAATCAGGAAAGGGCAGATCACTCAGAAAATATTCATAATGAAATAAATAACATTAACCCCTGCAACTCCGAAGATATCATCACTCATCCCCAGTCTAGTAATTTTTTATATCCCCGACTCTCCCAACTGCAAATAGGCCTTTAAGAAATAAACACAAACATCACCTCAAAAATTATCAAGAAGTATTAGTGACCAACTCAATCCTTTACAACGGCTTGACAATGAAACCAAAAGGAACACAGAGTGATGTACCAGCTAACCTACAGACAAATTCTTCAAATACTGAAGTCACAATCATTCATCAGAATATACAGTGCCTAAAAAACAAAACCCTGGAAATAGAACTTTTACTTGAAAACTTAAACCCGAAACCTATCTTTATGTGTTTCACTGAACACTGGTATACAAAACAAGAAGAAAGTTGTATGAAACTTAATGGCTACGTACTCAAGTCAGTGTTTTCCCGAGAACACCGCATACATGGCGGATCCAGTATTTTTGTTAGAGAAGACACAAGTACTTATGTTGAAGAATGTACTGAAATCTGTCAATATAGTGTTGAAGGGCATATAGAATGTTCATCAGTTGTAAGTGTGCCAAATCGGTTAATTCTGACCTGCGTATATCGTCCTCCCTCTGGAGATACTGATATATTTTTCAATTCATTAAACCAACTACTAGATGTGTGTTTGTCAAAGTATGCAATGTATGACTTGATCTTATGTGGGGATTTTAACATAAATTTATTGAATAATAATCCAATACAAAATTTATTTTTAAACGTCTTAACAACTTATGATATGCAACAAACAATTTTTGAGCCAACAAGGATAACAAAAAAAACTCGAACACTTCTAGACAACATTTTTGTCAGCACAAAAAAAAACATATCGTTCCAAAGTTTTGAATACTGCCTTGTCTGATCATGAAGGACAAGTTATAACATTAGATATTTCAAATGAGGAAGGGCATAGTACCACACAACTCAAAAGAATATTTTCTAAGGCGAAAATGGAGCAATTTCGAATAGAATTACCCTCAATGAATTGGCAAGAAATACTTTCTACCGACGACCCAAACATAGCATATGGCATATTTTATGACCTAATCAAAAATCTAGTTAACATTATTTTTAGGCTGAAAAAATGCTCGAGAAATGTTAAAGACTGTAAAAGCTGGATGACCAGGGGCATTAAAATATCCTGCAAAAATAAAAGAAAACTTTATCAGATGAAACTCCAAGGAAAAATTTCACAAGACTATTTACATAAATATTGCAAAATACTTAAAAAAGTGATTAGAGAGTCAAAAAAATTGTGTGACAACCAGTTTATTAATAACGCTACCAATAAAGGGAAAGCAGTGTGGACATTGGTACAAAAGTACACAGGGAAAACAGAAAAGAAGAACGTTTCAATTCTAAGAAATATTGATAATGAAGAAAAAGATAAAAAATTAATCTTAAACAAAGTAAATAGCTTCTATATAAATCAATGTTCTGAGTCTATCGTCATGACAACAAATGAACATACAAGTTTACATCCAATAAATATAACCCTATTTCTTGCACCAACAACTGAACATGAAGTAATCTCTACAATAATGTCACTGAAAAATCTAAAATCGGTTGGCTATGACGAAATCCCGGTAAAACTCTTGAAATATGTTGCACGTGAACTATCAACACCCCTAGCAATTATTATAAACATGATGCTTAATAAAGGAATATTTCCTGACAAATTAAAAATAGCTCATATAAAAGCAATCTTCAAAAAGGG